CGAAGTATGTCTAACCACAGGGGAAAATGTCTCATCATAGTCAATCCCCTTTTGCTGTGAGTATCCTTTAGCCACCAATCGAGCCTTGAACCTTTCCCCTCCTTTTTCTGCTACCGATGACTTCCTTGTGTAAATCCACCTACAACCAATAGCTCTCTTCCCTTCGGGAAGAACATCCAACTCCCATATCTGATTCTTGTGTACATAATCCATCTCTTCTTCCATTGCAGCCTTCCATCTAACATTATTCTCACAAGAAACAGCCTCCTGGAAAGTACATGGATCTACGCTAGTAATCGTAAGAGCAAATGCGACCATATCCTCATAACCAAACCTGACAGGAGCTTGTATATTGGTACGCCTCACTCTATCCTGAGCTAACTTGTAGCTCTCTGGCACATCAGTTAGGCCAGAAACATCATGATCAACATCATCAGGTGCAGAAATCGAACTCTCCCCCTTATCAAGAACTTCTGGCACATGTTCCAACTCCACTTGTACCTTGTCTGCATCTGATCCCAACATAGACTGTTCATCAAACACTGCATCTCTACTAATCACTGTCTTCTTCTCAACTGGATCCCAAAACTTGTATCCCTTCACACCTTTCTTATAGCCCAGAAAAGTGCACTTCTTTGATTTAACAAGCTTTGACCTCTCATCAGCAGGAATATGAACATAAGCAGGACAACCAAAAATCTTCAAATGATCAAAACTAACATTATTACCTGTCCATACTTCTTCTGCAACTTTGCCATCCAGAGATGCACGTGGTGATCTGTTAATTAAATAACAAGCCATACTTATAGCCTCAGCCCAGAAACTCTTTGGCAAACCTGCATTCAGTCTTAAACACCTCGCCTTCTCAGCCAGTGTCCGATTCATCCACTCAGAAACACCATTCTGTTGTGGTGTTTTACGCACTGTAAAATGCCTTTGAATCCCATGCTCCTCACAAAACTTCTGGAACTGTGAATTGGTGTACTCTGTACCATTATCAGACCTTAAGTACTTGATTTTCCTACCAGTCTGGTTCTCCACCTCAGCCTTCCATAGCTTGAATTTAGCAAAAACTTCAGATTTATGCTTCATAAAATACACCCAAACTTTCTTCGAAAAATCATCAATAAAGGTCACATAGTACACAGAACCACCAATCGATGTCACTCTAGTAGGACCCCACACATATGAATGTACATAATCCAGAATTCCTTTTGTCTTCTTTTTCCCCGTCTTGAAACTGACTTTTGTCTGCTTTCCCAGAACACAAAACTTGCAGAAATTGAGTTTGCAAGTTTTAACACCATGCAGAAGCCCCCTCTTATGCAGTTCAGTCATACCATGTTCACTAAGATGTCCAAGACGCATGTGCCACAATTTCGTGCTATCTTCACACGACTCCACCGAATGGACTCCACCTACAATTGTACTTCCCAACAGTTTGTAAATGTTCCCTGCAGTGATCCTCCCTTTCATCACAGTCAAAGCACCCTTCACAATCTTAATGGTTTCCCTATCCTCATCAGCCTTGGGAATGAAACCATTTCTATGCAAAGTACCCAAAGAAATCAAATTCTTCTTCAACTCAGGGATATGTCTCACATCACACAATGTCCTAACAGTTCCATCATACATCTTGATTTTGACATCCCCAATACCGACAATACCGCAGCATCTATCATCACCAAGAAAAACAGAACCCGAGTTACCTGGTTTATAAGTAGCAAACCACTCTCTGTTAGGCGTTATATGATATGAACATCCAGAATCGAGAATCCAAGCATCATCATACTGCGTAGTCGAAATAGATAACATATCTCCATCACTGCAATCGGATTCCTCATTTTGTACCACATTCACAGACTTGGATGACATATCAGCAGTCTGTTTCTTCCACTTTGGGCAATCCCGTTTAAAGTGCCCTTGTTCCTTGCACTTATAACACGTTACAGTTTTCCTCCCTTTCGATTTGTCTCGCGACTTGGATCTGTAATTCCGATTTCCTGAATTATCCCGCACCTGTTTCCTTCCACGATCCTGGTTACCCTTCACATATAAACTGTCACTTTGAGAAGATGACTCTCCAGATTTCTGTTTCCGCTGGTTGTGAGCCAACAACGCTGAAGTAATCTCCTCAGTCTTGATCGTTTCTTTCCCATATGTAAGGGTAGTCACCATATGTTCGTAAGAAGGAGGTAACGAACACAGTAAAATCATCGCCTTGTCTTCATCTTCAATCTTGACTTCGAGTGAAGCCAAATCCGTGACAACCTGATTGAAGATATTCACATGTTGCCCTAAATCGGTCCCCTCCTGTATCTTCAACCCGTATAACCTCTGCTTTAGATACAGTTTTGTCGTTAGGGTTTTCGACATGAACTGTGATTCCAGTTTCTTCCAGATCTCATCCGCCGATTTGAGATGCATAACGTGATACATAACTTCATCTGCAAGGCACAACCGAATCGTCCCGGCCGCCCGTTCCTGCAGATCTTGCCAATCATCGTCTTCCATCCCCTTTGGCTTTTCTGCACGCAGCCCTTTCTGAATTCCTTGCTGCGCCAATAAATCTTTTACTCTCGTCTGCCATAATCCGAAATTGCCATGACCATCAAATTTCGAGACCTCGAATTTCGATCCTCCCGTCATCTCCGTCGCCCAATCAACCAGGCTCTGATACCACTTGTTGAGTGAAGATGACAATATGACATACAAATTAAAAAAACGAGAAAAGTAAACAACACAAGATTTACGTGGTTCGGCAATGTGCATACGTCCACGGCGGCTGAGGGATCTTTTATTATTCTCAATAGTCACAAATACATCAATACATCATGTATTTATACTATAACCCTACAAGGTATTAATTTACTTAAATACCCCGTACCGTACCGCGGGGGCTCTGCCCCTGCACCCCCGTCTATACCGCGGGGGCTCGCTCCACTCCGCTCACTTCGCTCGGTCGCTCCGCTTCCCTTGCTACGTTCGCTCCGTTACGCTCGCATGCATCAGCCTGCCTCATTCCTTTGTCAATATATGAGCCATCCAACACATTTTGCATTTTTAACTTTTCAATTGTGAAGGAGTTCAAATTTAGGATTCTTGGTCTGCCACACAAGCCTTATCAGTGCCACGTAAAATTTCTGATCGGACACGTCGACTCGACGTGGTTGGAAAATAACTTGGAGGAAAAATTGCAACACATAAACATAATAAATGTTTGATATTTATTTTTAAAACTAAAAAACTTGAGTTTTATTTACCATTATATTTAAAAAGTTGTTTTTATAAACAATTAATCCAAATAAGTATGACTAACAATATGTCCATTTCCAAAAAAAAAAAAAAAAAAAAAATGTGTTTTTTCAATACATACATGGGATAAACGTGAAGGATTCTCATATAGCATATAAGAAAGAAAATGGTGAAATTGATCTTTTGAAATTAGGTAATTAAATTTTTTATATATATAATATATAATGAAATAGAGAAGAAAGAGCGGGGGTAGGTGTGGCATTGACCCAACCAACTTCATTTCCCCATTATTATAAGAAACCCCTTTTCCTCTCTTCCTTTCTCAGCTTGGATGTTCCCCTGAACTACAAGCTTTAAAACTCACCTAATCTTTATTTATTTAATTAACTGATATTATTCCAACCATAATTCTTTCATTAATTTCATTATTAGTACCTCGATTTTCATATTAGAGTTTCAATTTATTTCAATTCAACATGCAATCCGTCGGTGCTTCAGATCTGAAATCGCTCATCCCGGCGACCCACCCGGGTCCCGGACGTGTCAGCCCGATCCGGCTGTCCGTTCGCTGCGCCTCTCGCTACAACTCGGCCAACGGCAACGCCAGCGTCGCTTCGGCCGGCGGCCTGAACCTCGGCCAAGTCGGCCGCGCCCGACACGAGTGGCAGAGCGCGTGCGCCATACTCGCGAGCAAGGTGTCGTCCCAGGAGCAGGAGATCGAGAAGTCCTCCTCCGAGGGAATGTCCGCCGTCAACGGCTGCCCGTCCCTCGACCTAGTCCCCGTAAGCGACCAGTCCCGATCCCCCGCCCCGCTCCCTAAGCCGCTGACCATCACCGACCTGTCCCCGGCGCCGATGCACGGCGCGAGCCTCCGGGTGGCGTACCAGGGCGTCCCGGGCGCGTACAGCGAAGCGGCCGCCGGTAAAGCCTACCCGGACTGCGAGGCCATCCCCTGCGATCAGTTCGAGGTCGCGTTTCAGGCGGTGGAGCTCTGGATCGCAGATCGGGCCGTTCTGCCTGTGGAGAACTCGCTCGGCGGCTCGATCCACCGCAACTACGACCTCCTCCTCCGCCACCGCCTCCACATCGTGGGTGAGGTGCAGCTCCCTGTCCACCACTGCCTCCTCGCCCTCCCCGGCGTCCGGAAGGAGTACCTCACCCGCGTCATCAGCCACCCGCAGGCCCTCTCCCAGTGCGAGAATACCCTGACCAAGCTCGGACTCTCGGTTGCCCGAGAGGCGGTGGACGACACCGCCGGCGCCGCGGAGTACATCGCGGCGAACGGCCTACGCGACACGGCAGCGATCGCGTCGTCACGCGCGGCCGAGCTGTACGGCCTGGAGGTCCTTGCGGACGGGATCCAGGACGACTCGGGGAACGTGACCCGGTTCGTGATGCTGGCGCGCGAGCCGGTGATCCCCCGGACGGACCGGCCGTTCAAGACGAGCATCGTGTTCGCGCACGACAAGGGGACGAGCGTGCTGTTCAAGGTCCTGTCGGCGTTCGCGTTCAGGAACATAAGCCTCACCAAGATCGAGTCGCGGCCGCACCGGAACTGCCCGATCCGGCTGGTGGACGACGCCAACGTGGGGACGGCGAAGCACTTCGAATACATGTTCTATGTCGACTTCGAGGCGTCGATGGCGGACGTTAGGGCGCAGAATGCGCTGGCCGAGGTGCAGGAGTTCACCTCCTTCCTTAGGGTTTTGGGGAGTTACCCCATGGATATGACGCCATGGACGCCGTCGGCCTCCGGCGGGGATTAGAACGCATTTCTCTTTCCGTGTTTTTTTCATTTTATTTTTTATATACAGTTTCCTGCTGGTTGGTATATTATATGTGGGTTTTTACCTTTTTACACTTTGACGGAATCGCAACAACTACCCCACCCTCAATGAAGAAGAGAGAAAAAAAGAAAAGGACATAGTTAATTATTATTATTATTATTATTAGATGCAACAACCTTCGGATTTGGACCTTGTAAATTATTAAGTTCCATGTTTCTACAATTTGGGTAGGTTTGATGTTTTTTTTCATTTTTCTTTTTTCAATTGTATCATTGAAGAGATAAGACTGGGAATGGTAATAAGGCCATGTAGGCCGGTGGGTAAATATGTAATTTGAGCCCGTAAAAATTGCCGGACATTCTATCTGTAATTTTAATTAAATATAATATAAATAAATATTACTGTGTGGATTTATTACCTTGTGGAATTCAGATCATTGTAAATGGTTTTGGTTTTGCCTACCTAAACACCTATTAGCTATGGATTTATACAGGTCCAGTGTTTTGAATTAATGTGTCCCTAATAAGAAAACTATCATACTGGATCTTCTGATTCTCCTAGTCCATTTGAAACTCCAACAACAGCAATAATCATTGGGATCTCCAACTGCTTGTCCAGCAAGTCATCATCCATAGCTCGCCGGAGGGTCTTCGATCGCCGTCATTGGTTATCGCCATGAATATTGCTGGAAAAAAAATTTCCACGCCTGGTCGTCACGAGCATGCACGCCTGGACTGCCGTTGCCGTTGTCAGGTTGTTGTG